AATTAAGGCCTATTTTAATTAACCCAGGGTTATCTCTAAAAGGTGTAATGGTTTTAGTGCCATGCCAATTTTTTCCCTTATTTTGAAATTTTTGTTTTTTTATCCCCTATTTTTTTATATATACATGAGGAAACTGTCTGTCTACATACGTATATGTGTGTGTATGTGATGTGATGTGATGAATATGCAGAATGGCACAACAGTCACTTTTTAAATGTTTAAACAAGGAATCACATTAACTTTTATTTAAAAGCTTCAGTTGTAATTTACAATTTATACACATACACACACACCCCTCTTCACATGGATAAACTAGGATAAGGGCTCAGATTCCAAGCTACCATAGAGCTTATTCTCCCACCCATCTCTATCAAACACTTTCTTCACAGTTCCCCTCTTCCAGCTGGAATTCAAAGTGGGAGGATGTGCCCTATGTTAACATTCTTTGAGTGATGGTTCTAATATCCAATCATCAGAGTGCCCACAAGCACCGTATTGAAGACTTCAAGTGTCACTGGTCCCACATCAATCCATTTTAATTCTATTGACTGGTGTTATCTGCTCTTTAGGGATTAAAAACCCTAAAACAACAGATTCATTTAAATGTTCAATGATACACCCAGCACTGTCATTTTAAAATCAATGCGAAGCTAATTTAAGTACCATGCCTTATTTGAAGAAACCTGAGAATTGCATGTTTTTAAGGATATTAAGAGTTAGAGCTTAGACAAGACTGTTGATTTCCTTTGCAGATTCTTTTCAAGGATCATGGCACTTTACCAGGTCTAAAGTAAATCTAATATGCAATGCAGACATAACCTCAGGGTGTAGTACAGTTTAGGGTCAGTGGTTTAAATGAAGTCAGAAAAACTACCACTTTTGATTGCCTATAGGGTGTGACAACTCAGACAAACAGTACAGTACTGCATAAGAAAATGTGAAAAAGTTTGCAAATTTCAGATTCCGAAGACACAAGCATAGCCGTCTGTCAAGCTCTTCCAGAGGAAATAAAATGTAGTCTGTTTTCCACCAGCATCCTTCAAATCATCTCTCTACCCTTTGGACAATTTTTTTTTTTTTACAAATCTGTCTTAGTAGCGATGTACATCAAAATGTAGCAATGATGCTACTATATGGGCTATCAACAGCTGGAATAGCCATTGCTTCAGTGTGGTTCCTCCCCTTTCAAATGCTTTCCTGTGGCAGCTTTCTAGTCCTTCCCCGTGCCGTGGTAGCTGGTATGCTGTCCTGATTAGCATACTTGAATTCCCTCACAGCACAGTGCAGTTCAGCTGAAAATAGATTTCATTCATTCTCTCTCTCTTAATTCAACAGTCATTGGAATAACATCAAGTTTAAGGACACTTAATGTGCAATATAATAAACTTGTCACATCATCTTTAAAAATCTTTATTTCTTGGATTTATATGGTTGCCCATCTCACAATAGTGATTTGTTGTGGCTTACAGCATTTAAAAACAATGCAAAAACATAATGGTATATAAAACACAACAACACATGTAACAGCCGAGGAACCAACTCAGTTTAAACAAAACAATAAGCATATCATGGGATCCCATTAATACGCAGCCCCCTTTATTTCTGTATTTGTTTACTGATGAACTTTACATACGACCTCAGTCCAGAAAGACTCTACCTGTTGCACAAATACTACTAATGAAGTAATATTAAATAATAAACAATACAAGAATAGAACAATGAAATCAATTTTGGTGTTGAAAACTCCCTAACAAATCCCCAAGGGGCTAGTGGAAGCACCAAGTTTTTAACTTGCAGAAGGTGAACTCAGGGGCAGGCTGTTCCATAGCTCCCACAACACCATTAACAGACTTTCTCCGATCACATCTCACAGTAGGGGGAAGCCCTTAGCAGGGGCTCTCTGCCATCCAAATTAGGCAGTTAGAATCGATCTGGGAAAGGCTACCCAGACACCAGGTGGTATAAGACTGTAAAGATAGCAACTGGCACCTTGAATTGCACTCAGAAACACAATGGTAGGCAGAGCAGATCCTGCAGCAATGATGTCATGTGGCATATCATGACTTCCCAATAAGCATGTAGGCCTCTGCATTTTGGATCTGCAGTGGTCTTCAAAGGCAGCTCCAGGGTGAGCAAACTACACTAACCTAGGCAAGAGATGACAGGTGTGACTGTCCTCAGTGCATCCTGGTCCAATTAAGGTCACAACTGGCACACTATCAGAAACTGGGCAAAGGCTGTTTTGGCCATGGCTTCCTCTTCCAGCAGGAGCTGTGAGTCAGGAGGACTCCCCAGACTGCAAATCTGTTCTTTCTGGGGACGTACAGGCCATTGTTAGTCAAGGCTGGTGTTTCCTAAAAGGTTGAGCTTTCCAAAACAATGTCCAAGGACCCAAGTCTCTTTGTTGCCACCACTGATTGGACCCAAGCACTCAGATAGAAATGGAATCACTGTAATCTGGTGCCTCACAAATGATTTCTCATAAAAAGGATACCTAGTTTATGGCTTGATCAGAAGAGGCTGAAGGCCCAGACCAATGGGTTTAGTATGTATTAATAGTTAAAATCTAATCTCACATGGGCAGACCTGGCCCATATACTTGGTCAGCCATGAAGTTCACTGAGTGTTGACCAATTATTCTTCCTCAGCTAACCTTTCTTATATGATTATTGTGAAAACATGGAGAGTGGAGAATCATGGCATAGAAGCAGCAGGATATCTTCCTGACAAGGAAGAAGCAATGGGAAGAACAGAAAAACTTCACTGACCAGATAAAAGGAAAAGCTGTCCTGCCATTGGCACGTTCATGACCAACAACAGATCAGTGAGGCTTAGAATATGGTACTCTTCTGCCACGACTGAGCAGCATTTCATTCACAATATATGTATCTAATGCTGCAACTTGATGCTTACATATCTGGAAGTATGCTCTATAGTAACAGCTATAGCAAGTTCTGAGTATATCTGCAAAGGACTGCCTTGTTAGTATCTAATTCCATGTAAAGCGATGGGAAGTCTTTTGCTGTTCTCTCGTTACAGATATGTCTGCTTCTCTTCAGTGGACTTTCATAGTACTAAATCTGTCATTCACATCTCATCAAGAACAGAGCCATAATTGCTTCTGACTACTTCTGGCCCTCCTTTCTATAATTGTTGCTGTCTTGCACTTTGCTGACATCTGCTTGGCAAATGCATCCGTTCACTCATTATCAGAAGGACTGTAATGCTTTCACCAGCTTCTACAAAGAGACAAGCCTCTAGTTCAGAAGATTGCTACTGATTGTCACCACTTTGAAAGTGAGAACAAAACAGTACAGCAGAAGCACTCCTCAGGCCATCTGACATATGAACACTCTGCCTAAACTAATCTCTGCTAAAATTTAAAACTTTTTTCCATTTTGTACTTTAAATTTGCAGGCAGCAAAATTAAGATTCCCAGACCAATAAAATACTAATACAAAATTTGAAATACAGAAAAACCAAACCTGAGACAATTAATAATGAGAAGATCTCAGCCCGCCTCTGTAAGCCATAGCTATTGCTAGAAACTTGGCAGCCTTTATAGAGGTTGTCCAAGTTAGGTTTTACAGAATGAAAATTGTAATTTCTTGATCAGAGAGAACACTAAATTTTCTGACAACCAAGTTTATAAGTGCCAGATTCTACGGGTGGTACAAAAGGTAGTGTAACAATACATGGATTACTGACTCAACCTCTATATCTAAGCAGGTACACATACAATTGTTGTACAGGAGACTAGTATATTTGCCTAGAGTCTCCATAATATGTAGGGTGCCAATTTGAGCCAAGGTAAAAAATTTCCTATGTGGAATATGTAGGATGTTATAGATGTAGTTATCAATCATTCATGGAGAATCTGCAATTGCACCATAAAAGGGACGAATGATTTTGGCCTTACTTAGACTGAAACTTAGCTTTTCGAGTAGGGGCATCCTGATAAACACAAAGTTGTGCAGTATATTATGAATTCTCTGTAGAGTAATGGAAGTCTTTTGCTGTTCAGTCCTTACAGATATGATTGCTTCTCTTCAGTGAAGCTTTCATACTCCTGAAATAGCAGATGAAATTATTTTAGAAAAGGCGTAAGAAATAGTAATCCAGAGAAATTAAAGGCAGGAGGCAAGAGATAAAGAAAGAAAATCCATCTGAATCTAATTTATACTACAACATTCACTGCATCTCTTCACATCATTTTACCTTTGCAAACCATCCTTGCTTCCATCACATTATATACTCTCCCTTTTTGAGGATCTTATGAACTCTGTCCAAGCATGACTTTCTCAGTCTTGTCTCTCTCTCAATCCAACCTCTCTTCCTTCTTATATTTGTTAGTCAATTTAATCCTCATTCTTTCTTGCTATATATCCAAGCCACCTCAATGTACTTCTTTTATACATATTATTTGCTTGCTATGCCTTTCTTGGACAGTAATAAAGATTTGATTTGATATTTGCTTGTTTAAATTTGAAAACTGTCTGAATCCAACTGACTCTGGCTGGTTCACAAATAGTAACATAAAAACCAATACTAACCAAAAATAAGATGGCATCTGGATACAATATACAAACAGAAAACAAAAAGCCTAACCCAAGGGGCCCATCTGTCTCACTTCAAGGCCTGGAAGAACAACCAAAGCTTAATGGAATGCCAGCAGACTGGGAACCACCCTTAATTTTGTATTCAGTTCACAATCACTGAGCACCCATTTACTCTTGACACTACCACCCCTTCTTTTACCATACATACATAAATATCCATTCCTGTTGTGTTTAACTTACTTTTACATTTCTTCTAATATATTTCTTGGATGCTAAGACATGTATTATTAACTTCAATTCTACTCTTCAACACATCACTATCATCCCTGTACAAATCTCTAAAATACTCTTCTCAGCACTCCCTCAGTTTCATGCCAAATAATTTAATCACTGTTTCTAATTCCAATCATTCTGCTGAAGGATTCTTGTTTAGTCCTCTTGACCCCCTTCCAAAAGATTTTTTGCTTCCATCAAAATCACTCTGCATGCTCTGTATCTTTTAATGTTAACTGTTGCTTGCTGTATTTGACTACCTTTTTTTCTCTATACACATTAGCTTTTCCTCATTCTTATTCTGTGCAGCAGTCAGTCTCTCACATACGTCTTCCTCATCACATCCTCTTCCCCATCCCAAGCATCCTTTTTCATATTTTCCATTCATAAAACTTCACACATACAAGTGGGGTTACATAACTATTTACGCTGTTCCAAATAGCTTCCATATCATCTTTCCTTACATCCAATTTCCATTCATTCAGTTAGATTACTGTAATTTACCTTCTAATACTTTTTCATTCAGGATGTACTTTTTCTTCCTGTGGCTGTTCCACTTTTCTTCTAGATGTTCACTTCTTTCCTTTTGTTCTGTGTCTATTTCCCCCCCAAGATCCAATCTTGACACTACCAAAAAATGGTCTGCCCTACATTCAAAACTCTTCATCACTGTTGGATCTTTCACTATTCTCTCAGTCTTTTAACATGAACAATCACAATCAAATCAGTCACGCTTTTAGATTCATTCATTTGGTATGTGTAGGCATTCTGTTTAAATCTCGTGTTCAGAACAGATTTTGGATTGCATTCATTCAGAAGGTTATATACCTTTCTCCAAAACACATCCATGATTCTTTCAGTATTATTATTCTTCTTCACTGAAGCCTAACTCCAACCTATGAATTTCTACTTTCATACGCACCCACAACTCATACTTTTTGACATACATTTTAATACTTTTATTTATAATTAAAGCTACACTTTTGCTTCCATACATGTATTCATCAACTCAGTTCCACGGGATCAGACTCCTTAATTCTGATTCAGATCTATTGCAGCTTTCCCCTTTTTCTTATTTTCAAGAATCCAGTAAATATTTGTCTGTCTTTCCTTTCATTCATTAATTCATGCCTTACCATATATCTTCTTACATTCTGAGTCACAATCTTCTATAGGCCATAACTGTCAACAGATGGGCCCATGCATATTGACCTCCACGGTACATTATATCTTTGGTCACCTGATTCTTTTATGCAATGCTTCTTAGTAAGTTGAAACAAGAATTGTGTAGGCTTCTATCAAAACACAATCAGCATTTTCTGCTGTTAGTAAGGACACAATTTTGGTCAGTTTTTGCACATTTTGGCCAGTATACCGTAAGCAGGCCAAAGCCCAGTGTTATTCCAAAAAGGGTCAAAGTATTCTATGGAAGATTTGATCTAATATCTAATTCAGAGACCACATTTCAAGCCAACATGCTGTTCCATCACCCCACCAACTAGGAGGTACATGTTGTGTTCTAACACACTAAGAATCTATTAATCAACAGTTTTTAAAAATGTTGTTCTCCAGTTCTTTCTCAACATATAAGGAAACTGATTATTTTTTACATAATGTGAATTACTAGAGATTACAGAACCAGATTCCTAACATTTATTTCTCTTTTCCTTCAATTGTCACTACAATTAAATCCGTTGTAATTTAGCCCTGATAGATTTCCAATGAATAGGTACAAAAATTATACTGAGTTTTTATTTCCCATTTTATTGGAGATATATGACACTTTTCTAAATAAACTCTTATCCTTTAGCTTTAAAATGAGAAATATTATACTTAATTCCCCAGTTTCTAATTATACATCTATTCCCTTGATAAATGTAGATGCTAGGATTCTAATAACTACTTGTCCTATAGATTAAAAGTTGGTCTTCCAACTATTGTGCATCCAGCCAGGCTGGAATGAAATGGAGCCATCAGAATTCTGACAGTATGAGATTTCTTAATGAATATAGTTGTTTTAACACAAAATAGAATTCATCAGCCATAATTTATTTGGACACTAATTTATATTGCAATACACATTAAGGATGTCCTGTCCTAGTAAATCAGTGGAAGGTTACTTTGAAGAATATGAAGTTAATTTCCTTTGATCTTAAAATTAGATTTACACAACCAAAATATTTTGTATATATTGGACACAAAGGATGTTTAATTGGATGTGTACAATTGTAATTGTACAATTGGATGCAATTGTAATACTTCTGGAGGTTTAATTTAAGAGTTTAAACATTAATTGATGTGGACTTGCCCAATTATTCCCACATTTTGGGCTGAAATCTATAGGATTTTTAATGTGACTTTAGACTGATCAGTGCATGTCAAGAATGGATATGTTTTTCTCGACCATATTCCTACTACGGTTTTTGAAACTGTAAAACATCGGCATTTGTAAAGCACTTTGTAATAAATAAATAAATAAAAGCTCTGCATCTAGCTCAAGTTGATGTTTTTACTAATGTCATACCTAATTCATGAATGATATATAATAAACATGCTACAGCAGAGTAGAGTCAGCTCTCTTCATGGGCACTAGCTGTTTTATCCCTCTAGTTCTTATTTAAAAGAAAACAACCCTAACTTGGCTGAACTTGAAAAGGCCAAGCAGTTTTGGACTGGATTAACACTGGGATGGGAGACCACTAGGAAATTTCTAGACTGGAAAGTTGGAAAAACATCTGAGGTTTTTTGATAAAAGGCAGCCATTTGGTGAGAGCACTCTCAACTTATTTGTAACACCCATCCTTGAGATTCCTTGCCCCAAAATACAACTCAGCCATACTTTGTAATTTGCACTGAATTAAATGGTAAACAAGTCTATGACATTGTTCTGACAACAGCTGTTGATCAAACTCAGTTCAAGCTGAGCGCATTTTCAGCTGAAAATCCTTTTTTCTCACAAAGATGATGCAGTTCATTGTAGCTACCCTAGATGTTTACATCCTTAGAAAAAAAAGTACCAAAGGCAATAACAAGGCAGAGGTCATACATCATTTTTTTCTTCAGCAAGAATGAATGCCATGGATTCAGGACATGATTCAGATTCTGGAGCCATTCTTCTAAATTTTAGACAAATGGAGCATAGCTTCTCAGCTGTCACAATTGTGATGCTGCAGTTTCATGACACTGTACTTTGTTTCAGTCACTTCATTGGTTTGCTCACATAGCCACTGCTTCTCTTGTTCATCCACAATCAGTTTCAGTGTCATTTCTTGGAATATACTATTTACTCCCACCTAGATAATATGGAAGATAAAGTTATCTTTCAGCTCTGAAAGAAATACAATTTGATATCAACTCACTATATGAGAGTTTCTAGTTATTATACCTCCTTAAAATGAAGTTTTTTGAACATGCCAATACTGGTTTCATTTTCCAATCCAATTTTTGCTTCAAATGTGCTGAGTCCAAGATGCGTAATCCCTACCAAATAAGATATCATAATTAAGAAATAGCTTTATTGGGAAGAGGAATGAATGGTTATAGACTAATGGTAGGACACAAAGTTTGCATGCAAACATTCCCATATTGAATTAGTGGCATCTCCAGCTGGGGTTCTCTGACTCCCTAGAACCAATATCGAGTTACATAGATAAATAATTTGATTTAGTTCAAGGTATGTTTACAATGTTCCTACTGTTAGAAACAAATTAGATTTAATTTTTTTTTAGTATAAATAAAAATGATACTCATTCATAAGGCATTTTACACATCTGAGACTAAAATTCAACATCTACTGGAATATAAGTACATCACACTAATTCAAAACCAAGTTGTAGTTCGGCATTTTTAAGACACAGAAATCCACATTTCTCTCAGGGAAGGGAAGAGAATCCAGATTCAGACACGGGCAGAGGGAATTGCACTGACCTTTGAGGAAAGAAGGAGTAGAGCAGAACTCACAAACAGGTCTGAAGAACCCGTAAAGGTGATATGGAAACAAATTCCCATTCTTCCAGGGTTAAGTCTTTTGCTTAAACTGTTAATATGCTCTCAGAAATTTTGGATTAAAAAAAAAAATCTGTTCTGTTGGGTCCCCTTTTTGATCATGCAAATTCCTTAATTTCTTTGCTCATTCTCAGCTTATAGCAACTAAAAATCAGATCTCGCACATATTCTGCATTAGCCATTCTTACCATAGGACATCATGATGAGAGTGGCCTCCTTGCCAAACCCTCTGCCACGGTAGCTGGGCTCTGAAAGAGGGAACAGATGCCAAAGTCTCTTTTATAGTTTCTTGTGACATAGAGATCAAAAGTCTCCATCATCACCATAATCATTTTAGTTCAAACTACTTTTGCAGATTAGGAAAATGTGTAATTCTTCCTACTCTTTACTAAGATTTGGTATCACATGTGGAGTAATTTTAGGAAGAATGAGATTGGCAAAGAAAAAAAAAATAGGCTTGGTGAAGCCAAAAAAAAAGGAGAGCTTTCTTGATCTATATCCAATCCAGTTTATCAAGATGCATGCTTATGTTCAAAACATTAACAATAATGTCTAGACAACTTTCACTGCCCTACCAAGAAATATTTGAAGGCCATTTAATTAACTTCTCTCTTGCTCTCTCTCTCTGTATATTATATAAAATGCTAAGTACAGTGGTACCTCGGTTCACGAACTTAATTTGTTCCGCGACTCTGGTCGTGA